AACTACCTAGGAGCTGGCCAGTTAGCTCATTTGGATAGAGCATGGTGCAGGTAACATCAATGTCCAGGGTTTGATCCCAGTACCAGCCAGAAAAAATAAGTAGCACCTTTTTGAAGTGCCCTCATATGTTTACTGCCAGTGTTTTTCAAAGCGGCTATATCATTGTTTTAGCCCATTTTCTGTTGATATAACAGAATACCTGAGACTGGGTAATTATAAAGAAAACAAGTTTATTTTGGCTCACATTCCTGGAGACTGAGAAGTCCAAGATTAGAGCTGCATCTGATCGTTTTCTGGTGAGGGCCTTGTGCTATGTGACATGGTGGAAGGCATCATAAGGTAAGAAGAGCACACTGAGTGAAACTGAATTTTATAACAGACCCACACTTGTGATAACCCATAATCTATTAACCTATTAACCCATCAGTCCATTATCTGTGAGTGGATTAATCTATACATGAGGGCACTGAACACTATACAAAAATGGTACAGGTTTTCAATTTCAATCTCCAATTGTTAATTGCACGCATAGAGAAAGAAAAATTGATTTCTATATGTTGACTATTGTGTCCTGCAACCTTGCTAAAATCATTTGTTAGATCTAATAGTATTTTTTTCTTTTAATAGAGTCTTTGGGATTTTCTACTGAAAACATCATATTGTCTACAAGTAAAGACAGTCTTATTTCTCTCCTAATCTGAACGTACTTAAATTATTTTCCTTGCCATACTGAACTGGGTAGGATCTAGAGTACACTGTTGATTAGTAGTAAAAGTGGACCACCCTTGCTTGTTCCAAATCTTAAAAACAAAGTACTCGATATTTCACCATTAAGTGTGATATTGGCCAAAGGCTTTTTTGCAGATGCCCTTTATCAGGATGGGAAAGTTCCCTTCTACTCCTACTTTGCTGAGAGTTCTCATCATAAACAGATGTTAAATTCTGTTAATTGCTTTTTCCTTTCTGTATCTATGGAGATGATCATATGGTTTTATTTTTTTTAATGTGTTGATGTGATAAATTTTATATTTTAAAGTTGCCTTCAAAATCAACCTTGCATTCCTGAAATAAGCTCTACATGGTCATGATGCATGAGAGCACTTCAAGAAGTTTCTGGAATATTACTCTTTTTATTTATTGCTGGATTTGATTTGCTAATATTTTGTTAAGGATCTGTGTGTTTATGTTCATGAGAGACACTGGTGTGTAGTTTTCTTTTCTTGTAAGTTTTCTGTTAGAATTTTTATAGAATTAGTATTATTTCTTCCTTAAATGTTTGGTAGATTTTACCAGTAAAGCCATCCAGACCTAGAGTTTCCTTTGTGGGAAGATTTCTAACTACAAATTCACTTTCTTTAACAGATATAGGACTGTTCTAGTTATCTATTTCTTCTTTAATAAACTTTGATGGTTAGTATCTTTCAAAGAATTTGTCTATTTCATCTAAGTTATCAAAAGTACTAGAATAAAGTTGTCCATAACACTCTTTATTATCCATTTAATGTCTGTAGGATGTATAGTAATACAATCATGCACCACATAACAAGACATTTCTGTCAACAACAGACTGCATATATGACAGTGGTCCCATGAGATTATAATGGACCTGAAAAATTCCTATTTTCTAGTGACATTGTAGCTATCATAACATCATAGTGCAAAGCATTACTCACGCATCTATGGTGATACTGATGTAAAGAAAGCTACTGCAAAAGATGTTGAGGAAGAGTGCCTAGCTTACCCACGGAGTGACCCTCCCAAAAGCAGTTCAGACCTTTAAGATAGAAAGCCAGGCACTTGACACATTAGGACTGGCCCCAAATGAAAGCGCTATTGTCAATTTCAGAATTCTTGCATTCAAAAATGATTCTCACCCATCCCCATAGCAAAATAATAGTTAATAACAGTTAGCTAACACTCACTGAGTGCCCGAAATAATCCCTACCTGTAGTTTAATTTTCATAACTTTGTGGGAGTAGTATTATTCTAATCCCCATTTAACAGGAAAATTGAGCCACAGAGAGATTTAATAACATAACATATGTTCTCAGAACATATCCTGTTCTTTTTTTTATTAAATCATAATTGATTATATGTATTTTGGGGGTTTAACACTGATGTATGTTGATCAAATCAATATTTTTAGCATATATATTACTACAAATAGTACTTATTCTTTAAGCCCCTTATCCACTCTCTCCTCATCCCCCTCTCCCTCCTTCATCCCACCCCTGATAACCCTAGATTTCTTCTCTTACTCTAAAAGAGTAATGGTTACTCTGCTGATTTGTTGCCTATATAATCTGTCCAGCAATGAGAGAGGTGTGTTCAGGTCTCCCACTATTGTTGTAGAATAGATGCTTCTTCTGTCACTCTGGAATGGGCTTTATGGAGAGAGACATCCTCTTCTTTTCTTTGGTCTCTGCTGGTTACTTTCCTTGTGACAATGCACTTGAGTGGCTGGAGGACCACCTGCATGGTGCTTGTGGTGTATAGCCACTTTTGCAGCAGTCATGGCTATTGTGGTGCCTGTCATGGGCCACTCACATAGAAGTGGTGTTTTGGCTCCTTGCCTGGTTGCGGGAGGAGGGGGTCCATCTCCAGACTTCTTTTTGGCATAAGCATTTAATTATATAAATTGCCCTCTAAGCACTCCTTTAATGATGGTTTGTCTTGGTGAATATCCCTTGTGTACTTGAAAAAAATGCATATTCTGCTGGCATTAAGTGGTGTGTTCTGTTCTGTAAATGTCAGTTTGATCAAATTGGTTATACAATTCTGGTCTTCTCTATCTTTAATGACTTTCTATCTGCTAGTTCTACCGATTACTGAGAGAGAAGGCTAAAAAATCTCCATGTACGCAGGCATGCTTGCATACAAACATACTTACATATGTACACATATATATAAGGTGACAAGCAAAATTAAATACAAATTATATTTTTAAACTTATTTCTAATATTATAAAAGTAGTGTATGTTCACTGTAGAGAAATTTAAAAGTTTAATAAAATATTCATCCATCAACTAAGGCAGTTTTACTCCTTACTCTTATTTGAATAAGTAAATCAGTATTAGGTACTGTTCCTGGTGCTGAGTTAACACAGTAAAACAAATAAAGCAGTTAACGTAGTAAACAAAGTCCTTATAACCACTCTACGGAGTGGAAAGAACAGACAAACAATAAACACAGATATACAACATGTTAGAGGGTGAAAACAGTGATGGAGAAACAAAGTATAGTAAGAGAGATGGAGGAGGCATGGATATTTCTAGTTAATACTTATATGTTAGGGAAGTCCTCACTAATAAGGTAACAGGAGAGAATAAGCCATATGGATATTTAGAGGAGGAATATTCCAGGCTGAGGAATGGCAAACACTCCTTTGAGGCAGAAGTGTTTGGTTTGCATGTCTGAAGAAATGCTAGGAGGCACAAGGTTTGCTAATTTGAAAGTATAATTACCCAGACAACAACATAATGTTTTAAGACATTTAGTTCCATATGAAACCACCTATTCAAAGTGTAGTGTAAGCACTTAAAAGTTCCTGATTTTCTATTTACATGTGGTAACTAAGCTAAAAAAACTTTGACATTTCCTAAAGGAAGTACACAGTATATTCTGCATTTATCTCTAAACAGAAAAACAACGGCAAAGATAAAGAAATATGGGGATACTAAGTACCTGTTCTTTCAAAGGGCTCTATTATTAACAAAGAAAAGCAGAGCCCCTTTCTCATGCAGGAAAATAAATAGCCACAGGAAAAAAAACTGAAAAGTATTAGCCTATAATTACTATTTAAAAAGCAAATAAACACAACTTTTAAAATACAATTTTCATAGTTTGCACAGCATTACGTCAAGCAACAGTATAAATTAGTAAAATAAGCATATATGCTTAAATTTCCATTCAATCAAGTATCACTATAAAATATTTTTAAATTCTCCTTTTTGGGGAATTTTCCCTTGACCAGGGAAAATACGAATTTGAATTTATCATTTTAAACAACTACAATAAAACTTAAAAAATGAGCAGCATTCAAGATAAACTTTTCAGCACTTGACTTTAATCCAAAACATGAGTTAAAAAGTCATTAAAATGAACTTCCAGTATGCCACATTTTCTCCCTTGACTACTTAGTCGGCTTTATAACTCTCAAAGCTTTGCAGTAGCTTACGCTATTTATACATATTCCTTATGCTGCAAAGATCCAAGATTTTAACCTTCCAAAATCAAATCTAAAAGGTATATAATCATAACCAAATTTTATCTCAGTTTAAGGAATTTTCTTCTGTTGTTATTAGGCATGACTAAAATTGAAAAGCCTGACAATACTGAATGTTGGTGAGGTTATGGAACAAATGAAACTCTCCCACTTCCTGCAGATGGGAGTGTATCTTAGTACTCACTTATGCCTTGTAGCTTACACACCACAAGCCCTTTCCATATCCCCTCATCTTCAGATTTCCTGGTCACAATGCCCACTACTGAAAGCCATTGACAACAGTATCTTTCAAGGTTTTCTAATTGGCTCTTGCATTACTATCACTCCAAACATCCCTTAATGGTTGACCTCCAGCCATCTGAAGCAAACTAAATCCTACTGTGTACAAAACAGCACTAAACACAATAACACAGTATCTTAAATAGATCTAAAATACTTACAAAACTGACAACTACAGTAAAAGAAACTGCACAGACCTAGGCAATATCATGGAGCTTTACTACTTAATATTTACTTCAGTGTGACAAATGTGATAAAAACATACTCAAAGAATAAATAAACAACGAGAAGAAAGAAAAGGGATGACTATAGCAACTTTTTAAAACATTTAAATCTGTCCTAGGCTCAAATTATGAAAAGGGTAAAATAATTTCAGCAAGTAAACTAATTTAAAAAGATGGTATTTGCTATAGCAATCAGACTCTAGTACCTTTAAAAAGTCATATGTTTTACATTTTCCTCTAATTTTATTACTTGATACTATAAGTCAGTAAACTTAATATAAAAGAAAGGGGGAAAAAAGAGAGACAGATAAAGAAAAACTTACTGGGATTGAAAATTCCTCAGCCAAATACTTCAGTAAAGATGCTTCTCTTGCCAAGAACTTGTTTCTTTCTTTCAGATTACCTTGAAGTTGTGTAGCAAACTCCTTTCTAACCACCGAAGCAACAGAGTCAATAATGATAAGTTTAACTCCTTTTGAAATAATTTCTTCTTCCAACGATTCAATCCTATAAAAGCAAAATTTGTAAAATAATGGATAAATTTAAGATACAATTGAAAATAGGGTATAGCAAAGGTTAATCAACTTAAAAACAACAACTTGTATTTCCCTAAGTTACAGCAACAATTGCAAGAATTCAATAAACATAACTTACATTCAGCTCCTCTACACATATTGCACTCTTCTGGAAATAGAGCAAAATGTTTTCGTTTAGTTTCAGAATTCCTTGGTTCTCTTGTGATATTGCTAAAGCTACAATTTTAGAGGAAAACTACTTGTGGTAGCCAGACTCCAAAATGGCCCCCATTTACTCTTACGTCCTGGTATTTCACACCCTTGTGTAGTCCCCTCCCACAATGTACCACAGTTGGTCTGTGTAACCAATAGCATATGGCAAAATGGATGGTACATCATACCTGAGTGTAGGTTACAAAAGACTACAGCTTCCACCCTGGACACTCTTTCACATGCCCACTCTCTCACTCACTCTGGGAAAAGCAAGGTGCCGTGTTGTGATTCTGCGGAGAGGCCCACATGGTGGGGGACCAGAGGACTCTAGCCAACAACCACCATGGAAAGGAAGGCTTCCAACAATTACATGAGTGAGCCTGGAAGCAGATACTCCAGCTCCAATAGAGCTTTGAGATGACTACAGCCCTAGCCAATAGCTTGACTATAACCTCTTGAACCAGAAACACCCAGCTAGGCCACTCACAGATACCTAACCATCAGAAACTATGGGAGATAATATACGTTTTACTGTTTTAAGCTGCTAAACTTTGAGGTAATTTGTTAATGGAACAATAGATAATTAATATGCCACTTAAATAATTAAATCTAAAACATTTTATTCATTTAATATTTTTTTCATTTTTGAAGAAATACCTCAACCAAAAGGCAATAGCAAATAAAGAATAATGAAATAATTATTTCTCATAATTCTAATATATAAGGACTTCGTTTTACTCAGAAGATGAAAACACAAAAAACAAAAAATAAATCTTCAAAGCATTACTAAAATATCAAAATCTAAAAAGCAAACCTTCGTAGAACTTCATCACAGCTGAGCTCCCGATAAAGATTAACTTTACTACTTGTCAAAAGTAATTTTTCTTCAGTGTTAAAATATCTAGGAAAACGGGATTCTGCTATCTCAACCAGTCTGTGAGGAAAAAAATAACACAAGTCAACATGTCAATGATTTTAAAGCCACATTGCTGAACCTCTAATAAATTTTACTTAGGAAACTTACAAGCCTTATCAATAGCACAGATATAAGTAAAACGGCTTAACACAAGTTGAGAACGTAAGCTTTACTTTTTAAGCACTAACAGAGGTTAGCAGTCAGAGCATGAGACCAGTAAGGGTCTTATATAATATTGAGCAACTTATAATGTCTCTGAGATTTATCCTTCTGGGAATAAAAATGTTTTTTATAAATGATATTTTGACTAGCAGCTATAAGACATGTTCAGTAAATAAGAGAAATGCTTTCATTTTCTTTTTTTTAATTTATACTGACATCTTTTTTAAGTTTATCAGTAACTCTCTATGTCTCAGTCCAGAAAAATATGCTTTCTCAATTAAAAGAATTCATACAAATAAATGCTATCCAATAGTTCCTTGGTAAGTAGAAAAGCATTATCTAAACAAAATGCTATCCAATAGTTCCTAGTAGACAAAGAATAATTTTCTAAACACTCAAAGCTAGATCTAATATATGGAGTAGACCACGCACAGGAGAGTGACAAGCTGAAACAGAGGCAACTATCATCATTAGTAGTATAGAACATGGACAGCATAACTAGAAATTTCAAATATTTCTGGTTAAAAACATCTAAAATATAACGCTTTGTGTATAACTGTCTTCTATTTAAAAATAACACTTTATCAGCTCTAGTACTTAACCATCCAACGGGGACTGGGAGGAGACTGTAAACACTAAAGTCATCTATAGTTTATGTTCCATTTAGTGACACAAAAGTACAAAAGAACAGTGTTTTCATTTCTAAATAGTCAAAGAATTCCTAGAAAAGGCTGAGAATTTTAAAGAGATAAACAAAGTAAGTTCCTTACATGTACTATAATAAGAAGTGAAAGGGAAAAAAAAAATAGGAAAAGAGAAATAAAAGAAAACTAGTCAACAACTTCTTTAAAGTACATTTTGAACAATTTGAAAAGAACAGAACACAATTAGGTTGAACAAGAAGAGGAAAAAATACTTCAGGAGTGAGGAACAGTACTAAAAGACGTGTAGAGAGTGAGAATACAATGGATCAAATGGCCACTCAGGAGAAGTGCATGAGAGAGGCACAGGGATGGAAACGGAGGAAGGAGATGAGGCGAGTGAGGAAGGCAAGAGGAAATGAAATGGCATTGGCAAAGGCAGAGCAGGCAAAGTCTGAGAGTTTGGAGGAAACGTGAAAACTTTTGATTAGGGCAACTGTGCCAAGTTTAGGGCTGGTCAGAGAAGTCAGCTATAAAGCTCTGGCACTTAGAACCCACTGATTTTTAATAGGATAGGTATGGCAACACCTACCAGAAACATGGAACTTCTTCAGAATTTGGGTACCCAGTTGATTAGGAGCCAGAGATACCTGACTGGCAACAACGCCTGAGCAGCTGACAGACAGTAGTACATTTCTGACCTCCAGCACTAGCCTGGATTGCAAGTAGTGGCTCAAGTTGTGAAAGGCTCTGGAACTTACTGCCGCTTTCTCATCCAGCAACACCTCTCAGAAGGAATGGTGGGCAACGTATGAATATGAACTAGCTTTGTTCACGGTAACCATGCGACATAACTGTACCGAATGCTTATTTACACACCGATATGATGTAATTTTCTGTAAGTTTCTCCAAATGTTTTTTATTTTAGAAAAAATATCTGAAAAATATATATAATAAAAAATGAATATAAATGTTGTATTCTATATACCTCACACTAATCATAGTAATTTCCTGTGACAATCTTCATCACAAAGATCTTTTTTCTCTAGGGCAAGCAACAGAAAAAAAGCCTATCCTTACACCCAGACAGTAATTACACGAGGTATGAAAACAATGCCATGTAGTGGATATCTTTTTATAAAAAGTATTCCTTTCAAAAGATGCACTTAAGATTTGTTCACTTAGCAAATATTTATTGAGGACCCACTATATGCCAGGTACCATTCTAGGTGCTGAGGATATGGCAATTAACAACCACCACTAAAAACGAAAGGAAGAGAAAAACCCTTTCCTCATGGAGCTTACATTCTACTAAGGGAGACAAACAATTAAGTATATATCATATGTCAGGTAATAAGTGCTCTAAAGAAAAGTGAAGCGGCATGCAGGAACAGAATATGAGAGATAGAAGCAAGTGCTATTGTATGTAGGCTCGAAAATCCTCATTAATAAGGAGACATTTGAGCAAATGCTAAAAAGAAGCAAGAAAATGAACCATGCAGATATCTAGTGAAACAACACATAGGAATAGAGAACTGTAGTGAGTGCAAAAGCCCAGGTGTCAGAAGGTGCCTGGTTTGTTTGAGGACAACAAAAAGGCTAACGTGGTTGCAACAGAGGGAGCAAGAGACAGAATAACAGGAAATGAGGTCAGAGAGTTATCCAGATGCCAAGATCACATGAGACCTTTAGGTCTGTGGTATTCTGTTTGGGTTTTATTTAGTAAAATGGGAAGCCTAGGAGCAGGACTGACAAGATCTAACTTCTTTTTTTAAGGGATTTCTCTAGCTGCCAAATGGAGACGAGGAAGTAGATGAGGCAAGGGTGAAAGTAAGGAGATCAGTTAGTGCAGTATCCAGATAAGAGATGATGATGGCTTGATCTAGGGAAGTAATGGCTCAAGAGGTTACAAGTAACTGGACTCAAGATACAATTCAAAAGAGGAGCTAAAAGGATGTCCAGACTAATTGGATGAGTATTGAAAGAATGGAATTACTATTTATTGAAGTAGAGAAAACTGGATTCAGATCAAGGTTCTGGTTACTGATGCTGTTTGTATGTTTTATTATTTTTTTTTTTTTCATGGCGGAATCAAGAATGTGGTTTTGGACATATCAAGACATCCATGTCTGTAAGCATATCCATTTTCCAACTTAACTTTCTCCAGTCAATAACATTACATCTACTCTCAATGTCCCAATGCCCAGAGCCACTCTTTCCTGACAGACAAATAACGCTAGCTATCAGTCCTACAGTCAAAGGATTTACTGTGGTAGAAAGCCTCAGAAAAGGATTAGAAGTACTCCTCTTTTAAAAGAAGTTCCAGACCTCATTTCAGGTTTTCTTTCCCCTTCAAATCTCACCTTGAAAGTGACTATCGATGCCTTCATTTGGACCGGATAGCTATAATGCATTTTAAAGATTCTAGTTCTGGAAAGAGTTAACTAGTTATGAATACAAGGACTTCTTTACTGATCAGTCCCAGAATCAAAAGCCATTTGTCTATGTACCAGCCAGCCTCAAAAAAAAAAAAAAAAAAAGGCACAAGTCTATTAAGGAGCAAAAGCCCTGTTAGACATTATTAGTTCCCCCTGTGACTTCACAACTCTTGTATAAAAGGAAAGATAAAAGCTTTCCATTAGTAACCACATGCCAACTTGAAATAAAACATGTTTAATGTAAAAAATTTTCCAAAATTCTAGTTGAACTACAGCACCATAAAAGTACCGAAATGTCAAGTTTATGTCTTCTCAAGGCTTCTTGTATATGTGTACAATTTTCCTGTTCATTCATTTGATATGTTACTAAATATAGTAATGTGAATCTATTAGTTCTTTACAGATTCCAGAAAACTCCAAAGTTTTGTTACAGTAATAAGTACTTATGACTAATTTCTACTTTCTATCCTAGACACTTTTCAGGATCTTCTTCCCCACAAATTCATAAATGATAAGGCAGCTGGAACTGGACTGAGGAAAACCTACCCAGACTCATGAAACCATCTCAAAAAAACTCTAAGAAAGAATTTATCTCCCTTATTGTTTGCCCTCTAGATCAAAGATCCCAGGTACATACCAATTAGCAGATAGGTCAGTGATCCCAAGACCATACTGGTATTGCTTTTAGAAACAGCCAAAGACATGGCTGGCCATGACAAAGTTGCCATGCCTCCGTCTTTATACACTGATTCAGAAAGAGTGACACTGTAAACAGTTTGGTAGAAAAGGGAGAGCACTATCTGTGGGGCACTTGGCACCCTGAAAGGTAACATACATACCAGACTACAGCTCCTTCAGATCTAAGCTCAGCCATTGCACACAGTACCCATACAACGTGTACCTCTCCTTTGTATACTTAGTTATAATAGCTATAAGTTCACATTGTAGTGGGTATAGTGATTGTCTTCCTCTCCTGCTGGACTGTATCTTTCTTCTCAGTTTTCAAAGCTTTTCTGATTTTATTATAACTCAGTAATGTCCACTTCTGTCTCCTAAAATTCCGGTCCTAAATCTTACATCCCCAGCTCCCCATCTTCCAAGGTGCAGTCCCATCTCTTGCTTCCCCAGATCCCTCCATTCTAATGCCACACTTGTCACCCTTCCATTTGAAGTTCTAATACCCAGCTTTATGTTCCTTTATCCATTTTATTTCTTCCAAAGTTTTATTTCAAAACCCTCAGTTACTATTTGCCATCCATATTACCTTCCTTTTATTTTTAATCCCCAGTTCCATCTTTTTCCAATTATCTCTAATAGGGATAATATATTATTCATTTAATTCATGTATACTGGAATTCTCACAGTTGCCAAATTTTCCATAGACTAGAATATTGAGATGGGTCATTGGATTAATCTATTTATCCATATTCTCAAAGGATATACAAGCATACAGTATATAAGTATATATCAGGGCCGGCCCGTGGCTCACTCGGGAGAGTGTGGTGCTGATAAAACCAAGGCCACGGGTCCAGATCCCACATAGAGATGGCCCGCTAGCTCACTGGGTGAGCATGGTGCTAACAACACCAAGTCAAGGGTTAACATCCCCTTACCGGTCATCTTTTAAAAAAAAAAACAAAAAAACAATATATCAGATCTTAAAGCAGAAGTCCAATGGGTAAATAAAAACAGACCTTTTCTGAATCAACCAGAAGAAAGGAATCCAGATCTCTGCCTGCTTAGCATTCCCCTCTCCCCAAGGTAGTCCCTGAGTACCCCAGGGGTTAGCACCAGACTATACTACTATCTAACTGTTAAACAGTCTAGAGATACAATAGCAGTTTATTATGAACAAGCATGATTAACATACTATTTTAGATTACCTTCTAAAAGACATGTAAAATAAACTAGCCAGTGCATTGCTTTCAAAAATATAATTAATATTTGCAAAGTGCTTTTAAGTACATCACCTGAAGAGTTTTCTTTTTTTTCTTAATGCATTTTATTAAATTATTTTATTTTATTTTTATTTATTGAAACATAATTGATTATACGTTTGTGGGGTACAGAGTTGAATATCAATACCTGTGTTCAATACATAATGATCAAATCCAGATAATTAGCATATTAGCATAATCCCATATTATTGTGGTTGTTTTCTTCTTTCTTTTTTGTTTGTTTATTTTTTTGCTCCCACTTATGAGTGAGGACATGTGGTATTTCTCTTTCTGAGCTTGGCATATTTCACTTAACATAATTTTCTCCAAGATCTCCCTAATGAGTTTTTTTCTTGTGTTTTTTTGTTGTTTGGTTTTTGACCAGTAAGGGGATCACAACCCTTGGCTCGGTGTCATTCACACCACGCTCAGCCAGTGAGTGCACCGGCCATCCTTATATAGGATCCGAACCTGCGGCCTCGGCACTACCTGCGCCACACTCTCCTGAGTGAGCCACGGGGCCAGCCCTTAATGCGTTTTAAATTTAAGTAGTTTTTATTTACTCTTCCGCTGTTTTCTCCCTCTTTGATAAAAAGATATCTAGATATTAATAGACAGAAATTATTTTCCACTTTTATCACTTACCCTAAATTCTCTATATGTTAATTCTTTAACTCTCCTTCATATTAATCCTTCAAATACTTTCTCATTTTTGCTGATCAGACAGCCTGCTTTGTAAGCACAAAAACATACAGAGAGCTAAAACGTATTCCTTTAATTGGTAAAGGGACACAAAAATCAACTACTTTGTATACTGACAAATTAAAATTTAAACAAATAAATAAAACAAACATATTCCTTTTTGTGTCTCATATTCCCTGCATTACCTCTTCTCTAAGTCCAGAAACTATCCCAGCTGTGACAGATACTGTTAATTACCAATCAATATCCATTTCCACTTCCTCCCTGTTTCTTCAACTTCTTTTTTCCCCACTTTTTGCAAAACACAGCTTATCCAGGAATCCCACTTATACCGATAGAAAGGAATAGAAAAGACAAAAACAAACTGCTTCCTGTGTCAATTTTAAAAAGAAAACTCCCTTAAAACATTATCTAGCATTCTATGTTCTCAAAAAAAGGGGGGGGAGGGGATAAATGTTAACCTATTAGTACATGTTCCATTCTATTGTATATGTTACAAAAGTAAAGCATTATAACAGAAAATAATAAAATCTCTTACCTTTCAGCACTAAATGCTGACTCTGTGTCAATATACACAACAGCTCCTTCTAATCCTCCCATGTTGGTGGGTAATGTAGCCAAAATACTCATCATTATACAAAACTGAGTTTTTCCACAACCTGGTGGACCTGTAATCTGAAAAAAAAATGTTATTTGTATGAACATCACAAGTCAGTCAAAGCAAAATCCTTTTGAGAACTTCCCGCACACACAGTCCAAGTAACCTGGGTTCTGGGGAGAGAATTAAGCCCTTAATACCCTAAGACATCCATTGTATATAATGAATTAACTTCTCCCTTATGCATCTGGATCAGTATTAGTTATGTACTATCCTTGGGGGAATTGAGAAAATAGTCACTCAAATCATCCTCTGTGTCCTGTAGCTCAGATGAGAAACTTTGGTTGCGAAAGGCTGGAGAATTCATTCATTTATACATTCACAACTTGGAATTCTATACCTTTTCCTCATTAAGACTTTTATAGCAGGACTGTGAAAATATTTAAGGGTTATTAATAATTGGTTTAGAATGTTACAAATTGCTAAAAATTGGTTTAGCGTGCTACAAATTGCTTTCAAAAGCATATTGCACTAGTCCCATTAAAAGTTACTTTGAGCGACTTTGATCTTTATTCTTAAGAATAAAGTATTTGGGGTGAAGAGTGCTGATATATACAGTTTACATTCAAACGGTTCAGCAAAAAAAAAAGTGTGTGTGTGTATGTGTGTGTAGAAAGAGAAATAAACAAATACAGCAAAATTAAACAATTGTTAAATCTAGGTGACTCATACTTTAAAATGCATGTTTTGAAATTTTAGTTGGCAGAAAGCTATTTTGAGATTATAAAATTTGAAATCAAGAGAGTATAGACAGAAAAGAACAGGAAATTAATCACACGCATATTCAAGTCTAACTGGAAATAGTTAATAAAATTAATTTTAAAATGTTTTTAAAAATTCCCTTTAAACATTGTCACATTAGCTCTGGCATCCAAATTTTATGAACAAAAGCATTATCCCTTTTGTGAAAATAACACCAAAGAACAATTTTTCACAATAGGAAGAAAAAAGGAAGGAAGAAGGACAGAATAAAATCTCAGGTACAGATGAAAAAAAATATCTGTGCTAATACTGAGACATACTACAAACATAAAGACCAGATACATAATGAAGTAGAAAGAAATAAGAAGGGATGACCCATGAGTTTAGATCAGTGGTTCTCAAATCTAAGTGAGCAATACAATCACCTAGCAAGCTTGTTAACCAGCACATTTCTGGTTCAGTAGGTCTAGGATGTGGCCTGCAAATTTTTATCTCTACTAAGTTCCCAGGTGATGATGATGATGATGTATACTTTGAAAACAACTCTTTTAGAATTTAGACTAAAGGTAAACTTCATTTATCAAGTCTCAACCTTAAAAAGCAAATGTTCTCATATTAGAAACTGTGCTGGTTTATAATCATTAAAAATTTTATTTAGACTTTAAGGAAAAATAATCACTCCTACAAATAACAGTTTGCCAGATTATGAGTGATCAGTGAAGAGAAGCCTCCAAATGTCTCTGATCACATATTCCAACAAACAAAAAAATAAACTAAATTTAGCATGGCTCTTAGTATTTATGTATTACATATATATATATATGTATTTATTATATACATACTATTTAACTAATATGTTCCACATAGTATAAAACATACACAAAATAGGAATTAAAAACAAATAAAAGACTAAAAACATTAATAATAGTTTCATGTTTATTACTGCATGAAAATCTTTTCACTCTCATAAAAGCTTCATAACATTTTTAGTGGAGCAATGATAATAAAAATGATAAAAAATGAAATTGCATTTTTAAAAAATAATTATTTAAATATTTTGTAATTCAGTGATTGAAATATCAGGTCCTAAGTTCCATTTATTTCACACTTAATTATAATGCCTGCCTAACTAAAAAAGAGATAATTGCAGAGATGCAAGGATTAAAATTAAAGAAATACATCATTCATTAAACTTAACTAAATCACTATTTTTATTTTTTAATACCTTTCACCAATTATGCAAAACTTTTTGTCAAACTCTGGCTAATAAATTTCTTCCCTCACATCAATCAGTCGTTCTTGAAAACTAATCAAATGTTGCATTTTAACATTTTTAACAACTGGTTTATAAATCTTTTGATACCCTCTGTGATTTTTTTTTTTTGCTTACATTTATTTATTTTTATTGAAGTATAACAATCATCCTGAAAAGCACACAATCATATATGACCATTTACATGAATTTCTACCAAGAAATTCATATGCCCCCAGATACATGGCAAGGTTTTTTTCTTTTAATATTTTTAACAATAATAATTGTACCACCCAGAAGCAGGCATGGAACATGCCCAGAGTCCTAGGCAGGAGCAAAGGGCAGTACTCACTGCCCAGAAGCAGGCAAGGAGCATGCCAAAAACACGACTTCTTCATGGGTGGCCCACCACAGCCACCACCACAGTCACAGCTGCCACAAAAGCAGCTTGCCGCCAAAGCAGTAGCTACAACCACAGTGCAGGCGGCCCACCAGACACTTGACTGCATTGACACAAGGAGAGTCACTGGCAGAGACTCGAAAAAGAAGAGGAAGTCTCTCTCCTCAAAGCCCACTCCAGAGTAATAGAAGAAGCAACTGCTCTACCAGATGACCAAACATCAATGTAGGGATACTAGAAATGACACCACTGAAAGAATACAGTAACTCTCAAATACCAGACCCTCTAGAGCAGGAAACCCTTGAAATGACTGAAAAGGAATTCCAAGCAACCATCTTAAGGAAACTCACTGAGATACGAAAAGACTCAGACAACATAATGAAATGAGAAAAAAATTCAGGATATGAAGAAGGAAATTTACAAAGAGATTAATACCTTAAAAAAGAATGTAGCAGAACTCATGGAACTAAAAGATTCACTTAATGAACTAACACAACCGATAGCTTAAGCAGCAGACTAGAACAAGCAGAAGAAAGAATGTCTGATCTTGAAGATAGTCTTTTCAAAATAACCCAGGTGGACAAAAAAAAGGAAAAAATAATTTTAAAAAATGAAGAAAATCTAAGAGAGCTAGTAGACAACTTTAAGCACAAAAACATTCAAACCATGGGTGTTCCAGAAGGGAAGGAGAAAGGAAAAGGCATGGAAAACCTTTTCAATGAAATAATACAAAAAACTTCCCAGGTACAGAGACACAGACCTTCAGATCTAGGAGGTTCAAAGATCCCCATACAGATTCAACCCAAAAAAACCCTCTCCACATTATAGTCAAACTGGCAAAGCTCAAAGACAAAGAGACAATCTTAAAGAACCAAGAGAAAAGCATCAAGTCACCTATAAAGGACCCCCTATCAGGCTAACTGCAGACTTCTCAACAGAAACTCTACAAGCTAGAAGAAAATGGGATGATATATTCAAAATACTAAAAGAAAAAAACTGCCAGGCAAGAATACTATACCCAGCAAGGCCATCCTTCAGAAATAAGGTAGAAATAGTGTATTTTCCAGACAAACAAAAACTGTGGGAGTAAATCACAACACACCCAGCCTTGTAAGAAATCCTCAAGGGAGTCCGGCATCTGAAATCCAAAAAATGCTAATCACTACCATAAATACACAAGAAAGAGCAAAACCCACCAGTAGAACAAAAATGCAAACAGGAAAGAGAAAGAAATTAAATCTTACCACCACAAAAAACCATAGTGACAATATAATAATACCCCTACTTTATTCTGATTTTAGTAATTTTGGTCTTCTCGGTTTTTTTGTGGTCAGTCAGTCTAGACAAAGGTTTGCAAATTTGTTGATCTTTTTGAAGAATTAACTTTTGATTTTGTTGATTTTCTCTACTGTTTTTTAATTCCCTATTTCATATATTTCTGTTGCAATCTTTGTTATTTCCTACTTATATTTGCTTTTAGCTTAGTTTGCTCTACTTTTTCTATTTTCCTAAGGTAGTAGTTTACATTACTGATTTTAGATTTTTCTTATTTTTAATATAGGTGTTTACAAGTATAAATTTTCCTCTAAGCACTGCATGAGTCCTGCATCTTATAAATTTTGATATGTTGCACTTTGATCTTTATCTCAATGTATTGTCTAATTTCCCTGTTATTCTTCTTTTTACATATTGTTTATTTAGGAAAGTGTTGTTTAATTTCCACACATTTTTTAGTTTTCTAAATTTCCTTCTGTTATTGTGGTCAGAGAACATATTTTCTATTATCTAATTAGTCTTTCTTTTTTTTAAAAAAAAAAAAAAAGGAAAAATTTAAATAAAGCAAAAAAAAAAGTTCATGAAAAGATTTCCGTTATCTTTCAATTCTATTTTTCCACAAACTTTTTAAAGTGCCTTATGTGTATATCATTTTATCAATTTTTTATGCAATTTATATTGCTAAACTTACATATTTAATTTCTGCCTTGATTTCTTTTTATTAAGAGGACTTGTTGATTGCTTAGAAATTAATTTGCCTTTAAAAAGTTTATTCATCTTCCTCCGTTGAAATTAATTTGATATTTGCGTGCTTTTGGAAGACTTTAGAGAACTATTTCAAATAACTGTAGAGATTATAAAATAAAATATGTATATTTTAATATTAATAAGTTTTCCATGTCTAATTTTTGTGAAAAATCGAAGCCCTACTTTCTACAGAGTATTTTGTTATTCATCTGTTATTCAGTTTATGTATTTGTTATTTGGGCAAATAAATGTGCATATCCTTGTAATAAATAAATAAATAAATAAAATAGTACAACCCCCCCCCAATAAAATAATTGTTATCACATAACTTTAAAACGTCACTGAAAAACTTGTGTCAGTTTGTCTTCCTGTCCTTTGTTTGTTAATTATGATGGCTTCCTACTGTCATTAGCCAGCATTCTGAGGGACCAAATAACAGAGTTTCTTTGTCAATAATAACAGGTATAATTTTTTATATATCGAATTCTCTTCTTCATAATTCCAATTTTTTTTAATTTCTTCTCAGACTGCTTTACATTGTCATTGATTTTTCTTTATTAGTAATAGAAGAGTTACCAGCTCTGACTTATATGTGTGTGGTTTACTTCTGTTCACATCATTAGCACCGTCTTCAATCTACA